TCACTGTATCCACCATATTACCATCTATGAAGGTGTTGGAATTGTTAAATTCAGATCACCGTATCCAGCACATTACTAGGAACACGGATATTGATGTTACGTACACCCAGATCACTGTATCCACCATATTACCAGCAACAATGTTATTGGCATTGATACACTCAGATCCCTGTATCGACCATATTACCAGCAACTAGGGTATTGACATTATTATATTCAGATTACCATGTTACCTTAACATGAACTTTAGAACTTAACATGCTTAAACAAAGTCCAAATAAAAATATGTTTTGTTGAAACATCGCATATTTATAAATTAACTGTGATTGCCCAATAATTTTGTTTTGAGAAGACCATAAGAAGACCATCAGTTTTGATTCGGTTAACAAAGCGCGTAGCTGACCGTCCAATCTTTACCAACACTTGCGCGCATTAACATTGTATTATATATATTATATATAATTATATTATATATAATATTATATTATATATAATTATATAATATCTATTTTTTATCTACCATTCACTAGTGTGTTTAATGGTCTGGTTATCAAATATTCATCACAATAAAATCACGCTATAAACCATCAAACGTATAACACAATGGTCTGCCATTGGGACACAACTTGCATTTACCGAATTATACAGTTTGTATCATGGAGTTGGATAGGTGAAAGGTGAGTAAGTTAAGTTTAAATCATTTACAGTCCTCCGTAACTGTGACTTTCACCTTTTATTTACTTTTTTGGTGTGGGGGGTAATACAATGATAATCTTATTGTTAGATCCCTACTGTGTATGTACATATTTTTCTCAATGAATCAGTCATATTTTGTGTGCTGGAAATGCAATCTAATCTGTTCAATTCGAATATACAAATTAGCTTGTGTCTTATCAATTAGTCACTCTCGGAACGCATTGGCATGATTTTAAGCTGTTCTTTTAGGTCAATCAGCGTAATGTGCCAGAGTGTTGCTTTGAGTTGCAATCATAATCAGTATTTTAAATTATGAGTTTTAAATTAAATACACAAAATTCGGATATTATATTTTTTCATCGGTATTCCGCGATAGCAAATTACAGCGACTCGACGTAGTTTTGGATTCATGGATGCGATAATTTTCACAAACATATTTAATTAAGAGTAACCTCACTTTTGCGGGGCCTCTATAGAACATGTGTAAAGGTCCGGTTGAACATTTTTATTGAGTGTTTAAATCTATACATAGGTAACATCCCCCAATATTTTCTGAGTCAAGTTGAGGACATTGTTGGAATGTGTGTGTCTGCCATCAGTCCAACCTATCACGATCCATGCTTTGACGCGAACGCTGTCATAAATTGTTTTTAATCGTTGCTACATGTTTTGAGATTTGTCCGTCATTTCATTCCCAGCTCTGCATTTCGCTAGGGTTTCTGCCATAAGTTGACATGCTCCCGTGTTTTCTTGCCTGTAAAGCGTGTTGTAAAAATGCCAGTGTAATAACTGCCAGGACTGCGTGATTGCTGTTTTTTACGACACCTTACATACTGGAATATTAAGAAATATAATTCAAATATCATGAGCATTATATGCAAACATATATGATTTAAGGATATTCATTGGTAATTCCATGCTCCTGAACAAGTTAGTATATGCGAATTACTTTAACATAACACATCCGGTGTAATGTAAAAAAAATGTTAAAAAATGTTATGAAAACGATTCATATTTGAAACATAAACAACTGATACACTCTATCTAGTAGAATAAACTTGACCGTCAGTTACCACAGTGGAATAGCAATGGGGGCGATGTAATTGGTTTTGAATATTCGAAAATATTACAGGAGGTTGTACAAAAACGGGTTTTGACGTTTAGCCGACACGTACCATAAATGATCGCTGTTAAACCTATAAAACGTGGCGTAATTTATGTATGTTTAATGGGCTTTAACGCTATTGAGTATCAACAACAATTGATAGTTTTTTTTGACAGTAATATAAATATACATTCTCACAGTTAATGCAGCCTTCACTGTTGTCATGTGGTAGTGTACTTTATATGTAGGAGGATTTTCCTTATGTACTACTCCTAGAAAACACAATATTTTTGTGTGATAGATCACAGAATGTCAATGTGTCCGACATTTCTCACTCCTTCGTTTTCACAGATATCTTGAATGCCTTTGAACTAGGGTTTCAATAGACCAACATTATTTATTGAAATTACCAACAATACACTTTGCCAATAACATCAGTCTATTGGTCTAAATTTTATTGGATAAATTCAGTGCAATAAAATGCTATTTGTGCCCCATCTAGAGATGATTTGAAAAAAAGTAAGTGAGAATGGTTTTCAAGAAATGTTTCGTGTCGGTATTTTATTCGTTCAAAAAATGTGGAAATAAACTTTTCGATGTCGTTTGTGTTGTGCACTCACGCTACGATGAATAAAAATGTAAACTACATGGCTTGCGTTTTCAAGTTTGTTGTCATTATGCATTTCGGATGGTATTTGGCAATCGAGGAGGGTCACGGCCATGCTTTTTGAAAAGTGTGAATTTGTTTTTGTATTTTTTTTCTTATTTTACGCATTCAAAATTAATATTTGTATTTGCATTCTAAAATTATTTTGTCAATTTCACAATTTAAATCGATAATAAACTTAAAATCTTACGTAAAAATGAAAATTGCCAATCGAAATGGAATTTACATTTGTAATTTCACTTCGCTTTAATAGATTTACATTTGCAGCCTTACTTCTACCTTTGAAATAAAATGCTATTTGTGCCCAATCGCATTTGTAATTTTTCTTTCAAAAATGAATTTATAATGCATTTTTATTTCAGTTTTGAAAATGACTTTAATTTCTCATTTTAATTTTTAAAATTAATGATTAATTAATTTTTTTTTTACCTTTATTACTTAACCTTTTGAAACAGCCGTTTAGTGTGTGTGTTTTTTTGGGTTAGGATCAGTATATTATTATGCAAATAAATGGAATGGTATAAAACGAATCTCGTGTGCAATTCGTGTTGAGTGACGCATCGTTTTTATTGATGCTCCGGGTAAGTTTGTTCTCAACATGTGTATGCTTTAAGTAGCCAGAAGTGTTATCTATTTCCTTCGTGTTTTCACTATACGACAGATGGTAGCCGTAAGTTCGTTCCTGGATGTCATCGCCAGTTCAGTGCTTTGAAGAGGCGTTCCGAAGAAGGACGTGGTATCTCAAGTCGCGTGCTGGTTGTCGTGGACTTTATTGCCCATGTCAACTGGGATGAAGTGATTTGTGCTCTGCTCTATTGCTGTGTCGGAACGAATCGTATCAATGCCTTAAAATCGTAAATTTTTGAGAAGTGACTTTTGTTTGAGCTTGTTTACGATATGTGTATTGTATAAAAAGATTTTGATTTTTTGTTTGACAATTTTATTCGATTATATGGCGGATTGTATTTATCACGTGGATGGGTTCACAGAATATTTGCAAAAATAAAATAAAAGCTTTTTTAAAGTGAAGTGAAATTACAAATGTATATATTGCATTTCGATTTTCATTTTTGCTCATGCTTGTAAGTTTGATATCAATTTTCACTTGTGAAATCGACGAGATAAATTTAAAATGCAAATACATTAATGAATGCGCAAAATACGGGAAAAAATTAAATGACAAAACACATGATACTTTCTAAAAGCATGGCCGTGACCATCTTCGGTTGCTGTAATTTTTCAACAGACATTAAACAATTATTAACAGCAACTGTACGGATATATGAAGACTTGTCTCCCCGATGTGACAATCATGACAGGTGCTCGCGCCGCATAAGTTAAATATCATTGTAGTTTTCAGTATCTGTATTGACATTATTGTTTCGATTGTCGCTGTATTCGAGACCTGTTCTTACTAGGATTTTCAACATTTGGAATTTTTATATCTAAATTCGCTTCAAATTTGGTAGATAGGTCGATATGTTCGAGTGGTTTCTCCTACGTTCAAACGCCATTAGAGGAATGTCGTCGGGATTTACTGTCATGAATTAGTTTTCGTGTATCTGTTGACTGACTTAGTTAGCTAGTTACTAGTGAATGGCTGTCATCATTTAGGCTCATGCGAGGTCCTGGACGGAACTTGACTCAGTGATTTGGAACTAATTTTGATATAACCGTTGCCATCCGGACCGCTATTTCTGACAGTTGGTATTCGCAGTTAGTAATATAGTGAACGATTAATCAAAAGATATGACGTGTTCAGTACTTAGTTTGATTGGCTATGTGTAAGTTGAATGTGTGAAGGCCACGCCTTAGAGTCTTTTAACTTCTTTGTAATTGGTTAAGGTTTTAAAAGTGAATAAAGAGAGTTTTGAGTTGGTCTTGGCGAGAACACCACGAGAGACGCAGTCTTGGGTCAGCCTTGCGATAGTCTTGGGGACTTTTCCCTAGGGCGCTGTGTCTTATAGAGTACACGGCTGACCGACTAAAGACGAGAGTTGATACGTATTTCGTTGTGTGCGTCTATTTGACTGTAAAGTTTAAGTGACTTTCCCGTCCGGTTCCTCAAGCAGACGTGATATAGAGACAGACGGTATTCCCCCTGACACGTGTTGGGGAACCCCAGACCAGGAGAAGAATTCCCCCCTGATATTACATTGACTGAGGGCGTATTGTGATTTAGCCCATATTATGTGACAGACTCTTGCTGACAGCTGCGCACCATTTAAACAACGTAAATGCAAGAAAGACAAAATACCATTAAAAACGTAAGCACGTTTTAGGGGTGTTTATTATGTGGAGCAAACAAGAAGATAAACAAAAGAACAGAAAAGAATAAAACAATACACACGATTTTTAACAAATGCGAGAATATAACCCACAATGGTTAAAACGATTATTTCCGAAAACATGTTTAATGTGAAAAACAATATGTGAACTTGTAGCGGCAAGGACAGTAACATATAATATCAGCGATGCTTATTAGTGAAACATTAGAATAAACTGTTCAGCAGGGAAATCAATTAATTCATTTTATTCATCGTATTCACAAATAAAATGACCCAGGTGAAAACACGGTACATCGTTCCACATTAGATTCAACGCGTGTCTGAAATAAAGAAAGATAATATCAAGTATAAATAATTTGAAAATACCTCTATGAGTATATGGTATAATATATTTACCAGTCAAACGTACATGTCCGGTACAATATGATCATGTACTTACATTGCCACTGCACAGTCTTCGTGATTTGCATCACTTGGTTCCAAAGGACTCTGCCTCCAATTGACAAATATAAGCGGAGTGCCATCTGCGTATACATACTGACTTTCAGTTCTGATATCGTTCACCCCGGTCCACCAGCCCCCTGATAGCACAATAATTATAAAAAGTTGAATATACGACGGAATTATCATGTCACGTAATCGTAAAGGTGGTTGATAGAAAAGGCGTGGACATATTCACGTCACAAGTATTAACCATCTGTACGTATAATAAGTGAAACAGGATATATAATCAGATTGCCAGAAACAGTGAATCTATAATTATGAATCATGTGCTAATTACTTTTAACAACGTGGTCAATTTATAATAATATGTAAACACGTTAATGGCGTGCAAGTACGCTCTGGGTCGTAATAATGTTCAATGATTATTATCTCACTGTCGATAAGACTTGATATTTGTTTTCTAACCAATTCAAATAGTCGTTAGATTATATGAAAGATCCCAAATGTCTTCAACTTTCCACTGTAAGATTTCAGAGATTATGGATTACCCAAAATGAACTGTAAAATACCAAAATATCCATATTAACAACTTTCAGTAGGAATGAAATTTCAACGAATCATTCAAGCTTCATCACGCTCTATTGCTTCACCCGAATGTTCAACCAAAATATGTCCTAAACATCTATTTTTTAAATGAAAATAGGACTTCTGAATAAGTGACGTCAGCCTTTTTAAAAGTGCTATATATCAAGTGTCAATGATTCAACAATCTATGAATACTTTTGTGACAAATTATGAAATAACCAGTCTGTTTTGCAGTATACTAAAATTGCCCATTGATAACGTATTCAACAAATTTGGAAAGGGAAATTTGTTGCTAGTCGAATTTTTCTGCATTCGAAGGAAGCTGAATTTAAAAAAAATGTTAAAAACAAATGGTATACAACAAATATCCCACTTTTCTCTGTGTAAAGTGTCAGTGGGAAAGTTTGGGCACAATTTTGAAACCGAAGGTAGATTGAATTTGACCTTGTATTTGCCTATAAAATGAGTAAAAAGTATGTAATTAAAAGACTATAGTAAACAGCATGGTTCGGGGAATGTAGATGTTACTGAGCTATGTGATCGAATTCGAGTAAGCTGAAAGCACTAATTTTCAATTACAATTCACTATTTCGACATTGAATGGGTAATTACATTTATTTGACATGTTCGCGTAGTTATAATGTATAGCAGTGATACTGTTCTTGAATTTAGACGCTGTTGTATTTATTGTATCATATTAAGCGTATGTTGAGGTATAGTGTTACATAGTTCCATATTTGGCGATATATTATTTTGTAGGATTATTTCTGTTATATTTCTTGTTGTTTTTTTACGTAACAGGGTTAATTTCGTTTTTAATCGTCAACTGTATATGAAACTATTATACGAACATCACCAGTCAATTAATTACTTCAAACCAATATCCATTATCCGGGAACACAGTCATTGTGTCGACGTAGCTAGGAATAACGCAGTCTTATACTGATTATGTTAGTGAGAGTGAGCCCCAAATTACATTAACATCTACCACCCAGTATTTTGAGACTGTAACTTGAATTAAACTGATCTGATACACAGGATTTATATCACCTAATACTATCAGGTTATATCTTTCCAGCATTTATTACTTACAAAAAATTCCGTATTGTTGAATAAGTTGATGCAGGTAAGCATTTTCTTCTGCATTTCGTATCTTTGCCAAATGTGCCCCTCTTGCATGGCAAGACGCATTTGCTTGATTCCAGTCTATATTATCATAGTCCAGTTCGTATCGTCTGCGAGCTGTAACAGAATTAAAATACTTAGAGTTAGTCAAATGTAATTTCTGATGTAACATGTTCGATGTCACATGTATAAAATAATGGTAAGTATATTTCACCTTAAATACAGTTAAGTGATATGCTGTCTTATGTTTAATTCCTCGTAAATGAAAACAAATAGCTGTCTCCCCATTAATGTTGTAAAACAGGTGTTCAAAATAATAAATCAACTCATGAGATTTACCATCTCTGGGAATAAACATGTACATGATTCTAACCATTCAAAAGTGAATATGCCAGAGCACACGTACTGAGCTCAAATTCGTCTCTGTAAAGCTGATTTGCTATAATTATTTCACCGACTATAGAAGTAGACGTCCCAGTTCAACCTTCCCAGTTGTCAGTGACACCCCATGGATACATTGTTACAGTGTACATAATGCGTATACAGTTAGATCAGCTTCTTTAACCAATGAAAGGCAAAATCAGAGAATAATATTTTAGTACAGTCATATATTTGTTCTATGCTAAACAGGCCGTTTCATACAGTATATAGCCTTAAAGTAATCCTACACTAATGTTCTAGTGGATAGAGCTATATGTTTTACTATACAAACTATGAGGCTGATCATTGCTGTTTTGGAACCTCTCGACAAATGCAGGTTGAAGAATAATACAAAATGTGATAACGAATAAATTGGATTTTTACACATTTTATTCAGTTTTGATTTTAACCACATGCTACCCTGACCTACAAGGCCATTCGTTTATTGACGACTGTGGGTAAAATATTTGTTGGTTCGCATGGTGGTGATACTGATGAGCAAAATTATTGTTTTTAAAAAAATAGATCAGATTGTAATATAGTTTTTCTCCTTTCAATACATTTTCCAAATCATCTAGAACCTGAAGCACATACGCGGAGTTTTTGAAAAGAATTTTTCTTTGTCAGTGTATGTGTTAAACCAAGGGCTTTTAAAAGTTATGCATGCAGATAAAATGAGTTGTGAATGATTATGCTAGCACTGTCACACAGATGGCATCACTGTAACGTGTCTGATTTTGAGGTCGGGTATGTTAGAGATATTGTTTGATTCTAACTTAAAGTGATTCAATATGGGTGTAACCAATTTTTCGAAATATACTTATTTTTTTCAAATCACTTGTTTGTACATTTTTACTGATCCGACTGTGTGCTAAAGGATTGTACTTGTCGATTTCTTATATCGTTGGTGTATATTGTTAAATTATACTTTGTTATATGTCTTGAAAACCCGTAAAGACACGTTTACTGTAGTTTGCAAATCTGTTGTTAATCATATTTATTTTCCTCTTTAAGATTTTTGTGTATAATTTGTATGTTATGTTCCACCTTGATGTCGTTCTGGGCTTGGCTCAGAGTAAGGAACATTTTTTGTCGAGTATAGGTATGGGGAAGTGCTCAATTTGATACAATGGCGAATACGAAGAGATTAATGTGAAAAAAGGGTGTTTCCGGGTTTTATAATGTGAAGTAATGGTGAAATAGTGATCGCTTGCAATTAAGTTATTCATGGTGCCATAGTTTTCCGCCATGAACTGCACATTAAACATTTATAGTAATCGATAATATCTGCCAATTACCTAGCTTTTATAAATATTTTATTGTGATCGTGGTAATATAATGTCATATTACCAAACAACTGAAGTGGTGCTGGCTAAAGGACTGTTAATATGAGATGTTAATAAAAATATTGCTAAGAAAGTTACAATTTCTGACGAACCATGACCAACTAGAAATTAGAATATAATTCGTAACCTTGTTCCGCAAAATCATATTTGTTTTTCTGTCTCTCTGACACTCGAAGCTGGTCGAGTGATAAAAAGGTTATCATTAAAAAGGTTATTATTATGATCGCTTATCCGTAGAACAGGTTGATACTCGTGTCGCAATACACTATATACTCCACGCACCCACTTGTATCAAGTGATGTCAGATGGTAGGTTATTTATCACACCCTCCCTATTCTCAATGCTTCTACACTAAGATCACTAAAACCATATTAACATTATACATTTCGACTTACTTACCTGGGGCATAAATCTCAACTTCACAGAGACTCAGAATGTTGGTAGTTTCCTGTAACATGAAAGTGACATATCTCCCTCTGGTTGCCGTGTCACAGTTAAACTCTACTGTAGCTTGCAGGGCACTTTGTGCATCTACAATACTTCCACACTGAACAGCAGCGTCACGCTCTGCTGTGTAACCAACGAGAGTCACGGCGTTTTCTAGTCTTTCAGCTGCAATATAATAATATTATCAATGATTGCTTAGAGATATATAAAATGCAATGTGATGTTGTAAATTAGGACTTTGTTTTCTAGAATAACAATTTTTAGCATTGGATGTGTTATCAAATGTACGGAATATTTCACTTCAGCTAAACTACGACAGTTTAAAATACAATCGCAAATGCAAGAAAAAGCAAACCTACCACAGCAATCTTGCCTATTAGTGACAACGATCTGATGAATGCAGTGATTTTCCATTAGATCAATCTGCCACCACGGTTCGTATTCTTCAACTGTGCGCATACAAGCAGTCAAAATCCCATCGATGGCATTCACAGCCTCATAGAGTCCCTCTGTTGAGCTCTGACTAACGAGTTTTTGTGTTGCCACATTGACCGACCCTAAATAACGGACAAGTAGACCTGATAAGTGATAATTTTTATAATGTATATTCAAACAGCCAATAAACAAACAAGTTTTTTATTTAAACATTTACAATTAAATCACACGCTTTATTCAATGTCGTGTCAGAATTCAAAATTGTGAGTAGTGTTGTAGCATGGTAGTCAGATTTTTTGTTCTCTATATCACTATAAATATTTTTAATTTATATGTTTTTCCCATGTCCTACCTGAATTACAATCACATGAGTAGCTATCAAACCCATCTATACATGCTCCTCCATAACAATCGGCTATATTAACACAGTTATCTGGGTCTGTGGATGACATAATTTGACTTATCACTTAAATCTAGATCCACTTATGTCATATACATGACATATGACAACATTAATATGTGGCATATATAATAGTTGGTTTTAGATTGTTAAACAAATCAATAATAATAATATGTAATAACCAATATTAAGTATAATATACATACTAATCTCACAGTGGTCGCCAGTGGTTCCGGCCAAACAGCTGCATGTGTAACCATTTAAACCATCTTCACACGTACCACCATTCAAGCATGGGTTTGATGAGCATTCGTCAATAGCTTGGTACATAAAATGTATACAATGGTCATTTAGGCTTAGGGTTAATAGCCATTGTATAAATAAACACATTTGCAAAAGATTTTCCGTGCATCGTATTATAACTGATATTTAGTCGATGATTACTAACAGAATATGTTGTTTGATACGAACACATACATGGTGATTGTACACAATTTTCTAACAGTGTGCTACACATTGTCCTACCAAATCGGGTTAACCCTTACCAATTTCACAGAGCTTTCCAGAGTATCCACTGACACAGATGCATGACATGTCGGTATTGCTGGCACACGTGCCGTTGTTGTAGCACATGCATGCCTTCTGGCTTGTTGCTGGCTGAGCTGTACTCACTGTTCTATTTGTTCCATCTGTAATAAAATGTATTGAATAAGGTTGGTTGTTTCAATACGTTGGTGGGAAATACCTTTGAAGGTATGTTGTGTAAAGTCAGGTCACGTGAGAAAGTATTGTATGCGAACGTTTTGAACTTCGATAGACAACTGCGAAACATAGTACAGAACTCGTTCATATGTTGTGAGTGCATGAATATATCCAACATATAATAAGAAAATGTATGGTCGCATCGTTTATACAACGTTTATACAACGGTACCCACAATGCCATAGTCATCGTGAAGTGTTGCCATCGATTGTTCTTGTAATGTTGATGTAATAGGATGTGTCAAATTATTCTCCGCGCAATCATTTTTAGGTATTTATTAGATTTTGAAAACATACGTGCTATCACGTTAATAGATGTATTCTTCGTTCCAAATGTGAATATACACATACATTCGAACACCAAATACAACTGCTTAATTACATGATAGCTCAAAATATCCGAGGTCAATAAGATTTTCAAGCGCAACAAATGTACACGAGTAAACCCCGTGTGTTGATCGATGATTTAACAAACAACAGGACAGATTAAAAAGTTGTTGGCAACGCGAACCCAAGTTTTCATTGAACGCCTCCTTCAAAGCCCAGCTTTCGCCCAGCTATACTTTGATCAATAAATTTGCCTCAATGACTCAAATTAGTTGACATTATTAAGTTATGCTCCAGTATCATAATGATTATGGTGCTTTGAAAAGCTTGTAAGTAAAAAGTGTTAGCACGAAGTTCTTTTCTAAAATCTCTTCTATGACCACTATAAGCTAATGTGCTTCCAAACGCGTTCTACGAGACTGGTGATACGCTACCGCATTGGCATCTAGTAATAAGCTAATCATCTTATTATGTCATTTTTACATTATCAAATCAATCATAGCTACTTTAGCGATACTCTCGCGAATGAAAAACTCCACGAATACGCAACATAATTTGGGAGGTAAGTGGGTACTTTTAAACAGCAAATGTTGATAATTCGACGGGATAACATAACATAAACTAACATATCAAACGCAACAAATGTGCAAGATTACGCATCGGGTTTATAATTACATCCACCAGTACTGAATGAGAAGTTATTAGGTGTGCTTTGTTCAATTCATATGTCTCAATTGATATAATTTATTTCACAAATTGTGTGGTTTGTGGCTATATTTATTTAACGTCGATCACAATCAAGCGTTGCACAAGTGCGCCCGAAGATAATCTTCTATGAAAGGTAGCATTCTCATTGACTTTTTATTTTGAATGTATTTCCATGACGATAAATATAACAATACAGTTGATGTATTGCAAAGTTTTCATTGTTTGTCATATGCTGATAATATGACGTGCGCGTTTTTCCTTCAATGTACAATAATTGTATTGTTTCCCAAAGTTATTTGTGCGAAGAATGTAAAACGCCGTTGAATATCGAATATTGAACAATAATTTAATCACTAGTAACCATAACTGTCAGGCTATTAGAAGTGCTGATTATAAATAAAATGCAATTATTTATAATGTCAATTGTATTTGCTTAGTAAATATAAAACTACTACTTATATGATGATGCTCAATAAACCAAACATACGTATGGCCTTTGTAATTGATTGTGAAACATAGTATATTCGGCCATGTTAGTATTTACGGTATAACACATGTTTTAAATTAGAATAAATGTAATAACACACTAACGATTCATAAATTATGCTATACACTATTAGACATTCTAATTTATGTGCGTATTGTTTTGTATGTAACTTACTGTACGCGTCGAAGTATGGCTCCGCTTCATGGGAAGTTAAGACGACCCTGGCTGTCACTCCTACTGCTGCTAACGTCGCAGTAACTACGAATGTCGAGGCAACAATTCTAGCGATACGTGAAGATTTGTTTATTATATTCTGATCCTATCACATAAATGCATATACAAATTACGTTTAAATCAAGTGTTAATTAAATATAACAACAGGCAAACGAACAAACAAGAAATAAACCCGCAAAAAAGAGATTCGAAATTGGGATCTGGGCAACGACTTCGATTCAGTTAGCAGGTGTACTGCTCACCACGCCACACTCGCAGTCTTGAAACTGTTTTTGGCGTGTGATGAAATGTGGGTTCCCAACGAGTAGATACAAGTACGCAAACCTCAGATATAACAAACAACATGTAATAGTAACTTAAATGGACATATGAGTGTAATCGAAATATCTTACTTCTTCGTCTCCAGGTAGAATCTTGTTCATCTTGCACTACAATGAGTTACTAAATAATATATGTTTACGAAACTGGTGGCAATCTCATATATATGTGCATTTTATATCTGGTTGATCGCTACAGGATATATTATAAACATTAAGCACAATGTTGCATGACGTTTCAAGTTACGAGGCACAAATTGTATACAGGGTATTTCCTCTTTTGTGACATCAACATATATCCTATCTGGAATTAACCGGAGGCATGCAATGACATTAGTGTACGCTACGCAATTGTTTAGTTAAGCTTTTGCCTCCATTGTTTATAGATGTCCCTGAGGACTCTCCTCTATTAATGGGCGTACACAAAGTGATAACTTCGAGCGTCAATACATTGGACATAAATGTGTATTTTGCCTCTTGTATTATTGTATTGTACTCGGCCTCTTTTTTTATTGCATTCACCCCCCCCCCCCGGTTGTATATATTTAAACGCGTATGTATTGTTGTACTGAAATATTGCATTCTCAGCACATGTCATGTTTTACCGCCGTTGGGTTGAAATAGACCATTTTCCGTACACTGCGAGAATCACGCGTTATGCGTGAAATCGAACGTAAAAACAGGACAAACAAAGGTCATAGCGTCGTAGTCGCATCAAACATCGCGTGGGATTCGACAAACGCGAAAGTATTTTGGGGACATTTCCATGCTTAATAATGTGCTGTCCACATTTGATGATAGGCAATTTCGATTAAGTAAGGGTATTCGGAAGCAATATTCCTCTGTCGAAGATCGGCCGGTCGGTGTGAGCTACGAAATAAGGAAATTCGAGTTCAAAATCAAATCGTTCGATTTTTGCGGCAGACGTTCGACGCGCGTTTTTCATGCATCTCGCGAGATCTCGCAATTGTACGGAAAATCACCTATAATATCCAGCTTCAAAATGTTAATCTTTTACAATAGAGTTTCCCGATCGTGAACGCGCAGGTTTTTTTTTTATATTCGTACTTGCATGGGTCAAATTACCTTAACTGCCTTATCTTTAAAAATGGTAAATACGAACATTTCAGGGTTAATTTGAGCAGAGTGTTTACATGACATTACTTTATATCGCATTACATTACATTGCATGTGTTTGATTTGCATTGCAACTAAACAAGGCTGGTGATTTTTAAATTTTAGGGAAGAACTTTTAAATCACCATTTATCGACAGGGCATAGAAACACGACATTCAATGGATCGCAATGCCACTATGAATGTAGGCAGTTGGATGACATTTATATATTTATTTTTAAATCGGGTAGTTATATATAATGCAGATTCAATTCATTCGTGTTTGTCATAGCCCATAAGAAGCTCTCACGCTAATAAAAACAACCTCTTACGACGTCGCATGTGATTATAGAATCAGTGTGATAAGTACGATACGTTTAAGAATAAATATTTGTAAATGTTTTCCATCTTCCCATTGGTTCAATACATTCAGACGGGGTACATCTACCACCGCAACACTTGACTCCAGTGTGAGATGGTTAGTAAATTTATGTTGTTTTTATCTGATTGTTATGTGACAGTTCAACCTTGGGCACCTTGTGTATCTCTCACATATTGCGAAAACATGTTCCAATCTTTCAGCTGCAATTATGCAGTGTTACTGACTAATACAAGAAACACATTTAATATTAATTTTGATTGAAGTGGGTGTTCACTATCCTGTCATCTTAAATGATCTAATCAGTACGCTGTATTTAATCATTTTAGAGTGTAATTAAACAAATCAAACATTGATTGAATGATCGAAACAGACTCTGTAAGTTGCGATAGGTACGTTCTGTTCTGTTTTCGGAGATAGTACCGAATATAATAATGTACGACATATTAAAAATCGGAAAAGCAATAAAGAATACAAATATGCTGTATGAAAAGAATCTGAAATTCATTGGTACAATCATGTACGGTCAATCGATACATTCGAGTCACGCATTTCGTCACGCATTTCGTCATGAATGTTACAATCCGGAACTGCTGAACGATTATTGCATATTCATCGCAAAGGTCATTTTTTTCTCTCTGCTCAATGAATCCAGAATCAACTGCAGGTGGATTATTACGTACTCGGTTTCGTGTAATTATTGGTCTAACATTATCTTATACCATTATAAACCGGAAGTATACGACATGGACTGAGACAGTGTGGCTTGTGGGTAAGGTTATGAATTGGATGCCGACGAAGCCCGGAGCACACAAGAGCTATCAGCTTGGGCACAATTCATTCGTGGCTGTTAGCTTCAGCAAATATCTTCCGTGTGCGCGCAACTTTACGCAAGATTTTAGTCACTCGTGGCGAAATGGTAAGTATCTATCGCCCACGGACTCGGAATTCGTGAATGATGACTAGAGAATCTTGTTGATATTTGGCCGGATTATCATGGTTTGTATGATGTAAGGTCAAATATTTAAAAAGACTATGCTGTATTTGAAATTGCTCAATAGATAATGACCATCTCCTGCGACATGCCGCTCTCAATCGACCACGACGACAGCGAAAAAGCAGCAAAAGCAACAGCGATATCTCGTCATCTTCGGATGACGAATCGGTCTCACTCCATTCTGCACAGTGTTTTTGATAGATTAAAACAATGTTTGAATAAATAAATCAGACGAGATTTTTAATATGTTATGCCACTGATTATTAATAAGGCCTAAGCAAGCAAAATTAATAGCAAAAATACAGTGATCACGGTTGTAATAGCAATACAGTTATTAACATAATGACCTATCAAAATGAAACATATGCAGAAGAATATATCTCATGGAAGACGTTTATTGGTAGTCAGGTGGCAGAGGTCAAGATTTTGTTGTTGTTTTATTTTCTTTATTATCATTATCTTCTTTCGTTGATTTTGTTTTGTCCTTGGCATCTTTTAATTATTATTTGTATGAACAGAAGAAATGCTGTTAATATCAATGTTCCACCAGCTAATATAAATGACAGATTGTAATTCAATGTTCCATCGTATAGCAAACCTGTAACAAGAAGAATAATAAAAATGGTGATGGTAAAATAATTTGGTCATATATCTGAAATTGTCAAAGAAAGTCGATTTACAAGAGGCCGTATGTCATTGCCAAATCACATTCGTAAGTCACCAAACTTTTTTTTACCGTGAGCAGGCCGAATTGTTACATTGCACAACTGATGAAAACGGACGTACGCAGAGCTAGACGATACTTATTTTATAAAGACTAACAAAACGTTCTATTGTTCCTATATGTGATTTTGTTTGGCTTACCTGCAAGTGGAGGACCAACTGTATTTCCAACACCCAAACTGAGCAATAGCCATCCAAATGCACTCGATAAATCGTGTGTTCCGACGCAAAGTTTCATGGAAACACCACACATAAGAGGGTATGCTATACTGTTAGCAAATCCGAATGTCGCAGCTATCAAGACTAGAATCATATAACTATCTGCAACGGGTACGAACAGAAGAGAAAGACCACTGACAAACCAGCCACACCCTGACACGAACATTGGTGACACATGCCCCAAGTCCACAAACCAACCATGTATGGCACTCCCGAACAAATTAGAAACACCAATAACTGTCATCAAGAAAGCAGCATTCATATTAGCTACCCCGACGGACACTGCATTGGCAACAAACAGCATCAAACCAATAAGAAAGCCTATGCCAGAAAAGAATCCACCGGCACATAAGACGCGGAACCAAGAGTTTCTGAAAAGATATAATCCAAGAACATCGCTGATTGTAGATTTGCTACCCGTATCACCTGTAGTTTTGTTCATCGTTGGTTCAATGAAATCTTGCGGAGTAAATTCATCTGTTTCATATTTATCCAGCGTATTTGCGCCAGTGGAAGAAGCAATATCCTCATACGAGCGTGGTGCATTGGTTAAGGCAATAACCCGATGTTGTTGAGATGGCGGTCGCATCACAAGTCCGGAGACAGCTATGTTTAAATTAATTGCTGACATAATGATGAACGCACCTCTCCACCCGTACGTGTCAATCAGCGATCGAGCAATTGGTGGGTATGCAAGCATACCAACAGCCATTCCAGAACACATAATACCGTTTGCCAAAGCGTGACGTTTATGGAAATACTGACCAACAATCACAATACATGGTCCATATGCACATCCATACCCGATGCCTGTAAAAGATATTTATATTTTGTGTAGATAGTTGATTATTCAATAGTACTTAAATGGATAAATGCGGGATAGAGGAACACAAATACAAAAGTAATGTAATTCTACAGCACTGTTTTGAGGTACAAGTACCTCATTAGGAGCTTTATGTTTAATGATTCACTGTAATAACAAGCGTACACTATAAACTTCGCATGTTATCGCTTATCAACTAAAACGTTTAGGTTTAATTCTAACATAATATTGTCTTTGATATTACGGCGCCACCCTTTCAAAAAGTATTACGCGAAAGCGGCTACAAACACCAAATAAAATGTTAGTCTCTCCCACGGAGAAAGTTAGAGATATGGCCGCGTAGTTATGTCAAAACCCGGCATACAACTGCAACTTCTGTAAAAGCATCGACAAGTATCTCCTTGCTCAATCGACAAGTACTGTCAAAGTTAGCTATAATTACACTGACAGTAAAAAAAACAACACCAACTTGCGACTAATAAAAACACGACGATCGACAATACAAAAATAAATGAGCTTTGTAATTGCCAGAAAAAACGGCATGGCTACTGGACAGGACATGTTTAAAGCCTGGAGTTTTATACTAGACAACAGTTACGCGAATAGTCAACACATCCAGCGTCCAGCGAAACATTGCGTTGGAATTATTGGAAACGAATCTAAAATCACACGGTCCCATTTCGTAATCAGGTCACTAGAAATGAGACAAGCGTTCACTCATGACAATGTTATGTGGCAATTAGAACCATGCATTTTATTTGATATGTTTGCGAAGTTTATCGTACATGCTCATTAATGCATGATACCTAGTAGGTCCAGATATTTTAAAATATTATGTTTTACTGTGGTAATGTAGAAGTCAATCAAATATCAAAGGATATTTCAAAAGTCTACACAAGATTTGAAAGATTTAAATTCCTGCTTTCACAATATTGGTTTTGAAACTGTTTGTCACACAATCGTAAAATACAGTGCAATTGTTGTTTGAGCACATTGTTCAATATGGCCATTCAATATAAACTGTTCAACTCTCTGCAAATACATCATTCTTGGTCTCGATTCTAGCTATTTTAGAAAGAAATGAAGTAATGAAAAACTTTTGTTTTTTATATTTTTGCTAAAACAAGGAATGTGTCGAGTTGTCTTATGTTGACAAAAAAGACAATGTCTTCATAAAAGGTGTGCACTATAGGGTCTGTCATAGCGATTGTATTTTGAAAGTAGGATATTACGGCAAAGATACGTCCCTGATGTCGATACTTTGTAAAGAAAATATATATCCTGTGAACTTAACAAAGATGTTCTTAATATGACAACTTAGCATACTGATAATGTCTTATTTCTAACAAACAGGTCACGTCATACCCATATTACTGTGCATTTATAGCAATTAGAAGCATTTGTAAAGGTCACAGTCTTCTAGGACCAGGACGGAGTAGTGATGACAGATTTCCTGACAAAGGGTACCACAATTACAGGAGCCTATTACGCTTCACTTTTGATGAAATTATGAGAAGCTATCAATATCAAGAGGCGGGGCAAGATCAGCAAAAGTATCCTCCTCCTACAGGACAACGCTCCGGTCCACAACTCGCATGTCGCCAGATGAGAAGCACGGGCGTGTGGCTATGAAACCCTCCCCCATTCCCCTTACTCTCCTGACCTTGCACCCTCTGACTTTCATCTCTTCCTAGCCATGAAGTTGTTTTTTGAAATGAAAGCGTTTCCCAGATGATACAGAAGTTACGACGTGGTTGGAGGACCAACATGGGGTGTTCTACAAAAAACGGTGTCCAGAGCTGCATCAAACGAAGGGAGAAATGCATAACTCTGAGTGATTCCTATGTAGAGAAAGACTAATAACTGTGCCAAGTTTCATTGATCTCTTGCTATGCGAAATAGGTCAGGGGCATTACTTATTGAAAGCCCCTCGGTTTAATCACACTTTGCTCAAATTCACCCCTTCTAGTAGCTCGCATAATATTCCCCAATAAAGCTTTATGAATACACTCGGAGTGCAACCTCAACAGCCAATGTTTTATCAATATATGTAATGAACTTACCAACTATGATTCCGTATGTTAAATATAAAACATACACACTATTAGCAAACGAACACAATGCAAGACCAACACTAGATACAATTCCACCAGTTACTACCAATGGCCTGGTTCCAAATCTGTTATTAAGGCTGCTGATTATGGGAGCTGTAAAATAGAAGAAAAAATGAAACATTTTCCATCAAGAAAGTCCAGATATAATCAACTCATTGATATCGAAAATTACTAGAGTTTAAAGCATGTTGTTCTTTATAACTGTAAACTGTGTTTTTTATATTCCTTTGCAAAGTCCAAAATCAAATTATATCAACCTTATTTAGACCATCTTAAGAAAGTGTACTCTTAATGAGAAACATTAGAGGAAAGATTAAGTTGACCATTGCCAAGTTATATGAAGATCAATGCCTAAAGATGTATATTTTATGTAAATGGCTGTCGAGATCTAGTGAGAAGGCAACGAGGGTTGTTTTTGCCCCTCTGATAGTGGTCTATTCTCCATACACATTCCGCCATCGTCCATTGTTGCCCTGGTCTGTGTATCCATGGTAATTAAAACAATGACCGGAGAATAGTTGAAAATAAGATCTGAAGGGTATTTGCGGGATTTGTATATGTATTGTTTATTTAAATTGCAAAAGAATATTACATAATAAGAATATCCATTGTGATTAATCCCGCAAAAGAGGACGGCGTCATATACTAACTATACAAATGGGGTTTATAATTAAACTGCGCTTACATGGAATAAGCATTACCCCTGCTTGTAATGCTTGTATAGCAGATGTCTTTCCGGCACCTTCATCGAAATATTTCATGAATTCTACCATAAACACTCCCATACCAACTTGACAACCAAAATTCAAAGCATTAGTAATAAAGCTCCCTAAAACGACAATCCAGCCATGCCATCCGCCGTCTTCTTTGTAGACTAGCTTCATTGTCTGTTGCCCCGTTGTTGAATGGTCTATACCAGTTCTCTGTGTCAATCTATATTTGGGGATTTATTTCTGTAAGCAATAATTAGATTATTTAATATATCAAGGGAGAGATACAACAATTATGTCTGGCATTTTAATATAATTTTGAATAAATTTATTATTGCTATATTATTATATCCGGCAAGACAATGTACCTGTCAACTTCTGATTTATGCACACGCAGTAATTGCATTCTGCGTGGTTTGTCACATTCCAAAACTCGGCGAGAATTCAGATCCTATTTTCATTCAAACCGCGAATCTCCTATGTCGTACGCGCATTTTATTTATGTAATAAATATTATATTATGGCAAGCCAAGAGTTTATTAATATTATTAACAATAATTTTGTTTTTTAAAATCATGCTTCATTTCCATGTTAATTTGTGTCATTCATTTTCCTTCTGTGACACCAAATTGTGCTTAACATACAGTGTATTTCAGCTGTGACCCCCCCCCCCCCAAATAATACATTTGGGAATAATTTGTACCTTTCGAGGGATTGGGGAACATTGTTAACTGAACCTTGCTTGTTATTGAAACACATGTTACACCCACACCCCGGTTCTAGAAATTGGGCACTCCCACTGAGGCTATTGCTAGATCAAGTAGAGGTCATGAGTACGATATCTATATATAAATAAATATATAGCAAAAGCAAGTATGTCAATATAAATATCTTAGGCTTATAGGTCGCGGGGGTCACTTCCAACGTCATGTGCTCACCCAAGTCTAGAATTTAGTTAAACACGAATTCCCTAAGACTGACATTCCCTATTCCCAATTGAGTACAAGAACCCAGATTCCAACTAGATGGGAATAATTTGGACTATTTACGTTCAATATACACCATAGAAGCATAATAATCGCTTACCGCTTTTAGTCGCCTCTTGTTCACTTTATTGTTGTCGGCAAGCTATGAGTTTGTTATATATCGTGTTGCTCGGATCGCCTCGTGTAAAGAAACCTTTAGACGACCTATATTTTATCAATGATCAAATAACATGAACACTATTTCCAGCTAAATATCTCATTAAATACAATACAAATATCAGCTGTTATGACATCTCTTATAGTTCATATTCAATTTCGTTTGAATAAATACATAAATCAGGTTCGATTTAACAACACGCTGACCTCAAATATGATCAAGTCAAAAACATGATTGCCTCGCCTGATAACATTGTTCGGCACAAGGTTTGAATCAAACATCCTCCATTATACCACACCATTATACCAGTCACAGGGCATACAAGTAACGACCAACACGCCTGGTGTTTATATGAACAGTGGCAGGCCGAAGTTAGTAGAAAAATATGCTGATGCCATTCAAATATGAACTTGTTCATTACATACTTACTTATTATGATTCCATTCATTCATGATTATGCTGACCTTTAACAGGTAGGTTGTACAAACATAGGGCAATGATAGTTCCGGTGCCTTTTAGGGGTGGGTGGAGTGTTAAACTTCTTTAATATAAGATATATGTTTTTTTGGAAATGGATTACTCGCCTCTTTGGCTATTATCGTCGATTGTTGTCGCCAAAGTGATTCAAATCGCGAATTTTAGTGTCCTGGCCGTCTCTGATGAATAACCTATTTACAACTAGGTGTAAATAATTCCGAGCAGTCTGAATCTTTTCATGGTGACATGTCACAAATATTATCAAAGCAATATAACGTAAATCCATCGGGGAAGATGTCTATTATTGTTAGTAGTAGTAATTGTCAATTATTTTTTCCAATGTATAATGAAATGAACAGGTGCCGTTTTGTGCTAATAACATCTGCCAGATCACCTGTATGTTTGACTCATTAACATGACAGCTATGCAAAACTAATGCGTCACCATCCTAGCTTTTTTCTTGTTGAACAGATTTTCCTGGGATATTTTATGTCAGTGAATGTAATATTTCCTCCAAAAAAATACTTCAATAGACACTCTCATATATACCTTTTCTCAATAAAGTATATTTAAAAGTGTTTTGTTTATTTTCGCAACACGAACGGTAACTGCTTACACATTTTTGTACCAGTTCTGTGTCTGAAATTCTAACTAGAACCTGATATTTACGATCACTTCTTGATAACCGTCCACTGACGTTTTGCTGGTATAAAGCAGCTCAAAGTGCCATTATGCTGGCGTCAGTCGCATAAACACAACAAGTGCAAACGGTGTCCCGGTCAGCTCTATCGAATTTCAGAAGAATTTCCCATATATGTTGCATCCTACATTGAGAGTACAAAGTATAACTTTATTCTCATATTAAAACCTTATTATTATATTATATTATTAACCTTATGTTATGTAATACCCCTAGAAGTTAATGCATATATTAAGTACAACTGTATTTCAATTATTTATTTTTGCTGAAATCAAAAGGTATTATTTGCCACATATTTTGTAATGTATGTTACACACGAAGTAGGTGAACATATTATTAAAATAATTAATTCGTGAATGAACATGGACACGAAAAACCAGTGAAAACCAGTTAATACAATGTCCCAAAACGGTTACGGTCTATTACAAAATAACGATGCGAACATGCTAGCGGATATAATAACTGTATAGCAGGTGTACAACAAAAATTCAGTTTCTATTCTCTCAGCGTTATTTTTTATTTTAATATCACTATTTACAGACTCACCGATGCACGAGTAACGTAAATGATTATTTATTATATGTTTTAAACAATTGCATAGGTGTTTCCTTAACCCCAAATAAGACGTTCTAGAACACTTAACTTGGAACGGATTTGGATTTATTTTTGCACATACAATGTATTAAAATGTTAGTAGAATTCGGATAAATTAACAATATTTTATTTTCGAATTGCCATATGAAGGTATCAAATGCATGTTGATGCTCATCTATCTAATTACACGGAAATACCTGTCTGTCAACTTGGCACTTTCAATTCATGCCTAATCACAATAAAGAGACAAGAAAATGGGGTCGCTCTGCTACGATGGCACACGATGCTTTTGTTTACAGTCTGTCACCTTTGACCTTCAGGCATCTGCTTTACTGATTGGCTAAGAATGACATCACTACTAGTGTTTCATCATAGAGGTCAATTCAACATGGCTTTCCTATCAGACGAGACGCTCATCAATCATGGTGGAAGTTATCAACCAGAATTCTGGCGGTTGGAATGTCTAACTATATGGATATCGTGGTGGGTTTGAAATAGTAAAAAAAATCTCACCAACGACAAAAGTGTAATTTTCATGACAAAAATGCAATAGCTGTGATGAAAGATGGTTAAAATGTTGGCAGTCCTCGGCGTGACATTGCAAAATTGCTGGCCCCAGTAATGGATTCGCAAGCCACTACCAAATATTCTGTGAAGCCAAAATAACGTGATTTCAACGACTCTCCTACGTACGGGTTGCTATAATATTGCAACATTGGTTGCATTGTCGATGTATAAAGCGAACGAGTGTGCGACGCTTGCTTCGCGGCTCTCCATATACTGTAAGATTTGATTGAATCGTTTCTAAGGAAGCACAAACCAAACGGCCCTTTTTCAGGGTGCTTCAATATACAATTTGTTTAGACAGCGGTAAACGCGCTACCATGAAGGCAGAACGAGAAATTACCTATTTTGCTGTCATAGCTATTTCGCGTTCACCCCACGTTTTACGCAATTTACATTTATTTTTCAAGATTTTTTATCAGAATCACAACGTACTGGAAGGAAGTCAACTGTTAATACAACGAACAAAAAATAGGTGTTTGATTACGAGTGTAGAGAAAGACCCCTCGGGCGTATTCCCGGATCTCAATTTCTTTATTGTTTCAAAATTGAGAGTTGGGATTTGCCCGTGCATGGGCGCTTGGATAAATACAGTATAAAATCACAAGTTTCATTCTCCAATCTATGAGGGCATGGAAATCTAATATTTGTCAACATACCTTTTAAAATAGCCAGTATCACTAAGAATGGTTTTATTATTATAGGTGTATCATTATGCATATTTATGAGGTTACATGATCATATATGGCCATTTCTTATGTCAGTTATTATGGCAATAGTTGCATGTTCCGTTCTGCAACAGTGTTACAGATATAACAGTTATACATATTAATGAGCTCACATGACCACATCTGTTATTTTTATCGAATATCTTGTTCAACATTGTCATAATAACACAGAATTCATCTTCCTAACTGCAACAGTGTTTGAGATATAACAGTTATGCATGTAATCAGCTCACATGACCATATACGGTCATCTTCAACATTGTCATAATAATACAGGATTCATCTTCCAAACTGCAACAGTGTTTGATATGTAACAGTTATGCATATTAATGAGCCCACATGACCATATACGGTCATCTGTTATTTTAATCAAATGTCTTGTTCAACATTGTCATAATAATACAGAATTCATCTTCCTAACTGCAACAGTGCTTGAGATATAAAAGTTACGCATATTAATGGGGTTAAAAGCTCCCACCCAAGGGACGCCCAGCCACAGGACCTAGCCATGTGCCATTCAGTTTGAAAAATGTACCTCAAGACTAGAATGCACATACATATTTTCACCCCAATCGGACCAACACAACACATGTAAGTGCCCATTTCCCGTTTTCAAAAAATTCAAAAACCACGCCAAGGATTGAAATTTCATTATTTTTGTCATATAAAGCTATGAACAGAAATGTCACATATATACTTAATTAAGTTGATCTGTGGATACACCTTCGAGAAACAAATGCCTAAACTTTTGGTCATTTTTTTTTCTATAACAATAGGGCTCCAGCCCTGAAAGGGCTTGGACCCCTAATAATCAAGGTCTTTTAAGAACTTACACGTTTTCTTTTCACTTGTTCAACAATTTTACTCATAGTCAGCTACCTACAAAACTATTACTAGTTGTGCATCATACATACATGTGTGTTTCATTAAAGTGTTCATTTTACCGGAAATGTGTTGTTATATTGAGT